GCGATCAATTTACCTACGTGCAATCAATTGTCGCCGCGATCAATTGTCGCGTGCGACCAATTGTGCTGCGACGAGTTGTTTGCGATCAATTGTCGCGCGATCAGTTGTTTGCGACCAGTTGTCGTAGAATCGTGATCACCACATCTTCATCTTTCTTATATGCATTTCATCGGTATATGTCTATTTCACTTCCATCCTTGTACCGCACCAGCGCAACAAATCGCTTTTGACAGATGTTTCTTCTAACCTCTCTTTCGAGTTGTTGTACAAAAAACAATTTTAGAATTTAGAACAAAGATCCTATTTTAAGTGATGTAGTCATAAAGGATCACAATTGCTGCCCAATAATTTACTATTCCTTTCGTTATCTACTGTGAATTATTTATAAAATCAAGCTGTCAACATCTTTCATACGAAGTTAGTTCAGACGTGGTTCAGACATACTTCCTAAAATTTAGGCGCGCAAAATTCAAATAGTGATCAGGCAAGGATAGCTTCATTGTAATCCCCCTACGCACAAGAGAGATGTGTGACAGGAGGATGTCGTCACAGGCTGTCCTAGGGAAAGAACACAGAATGGTGATATCTATTTATTATATGATCTAAGATGTAGATAACGTTTGGGAATCACATAGAGAAAATCCGAATCGGACGGGCGGTTTGGGGTAGGCGCATTTTAGCGAAAACACGAATCTTTTTTTCTCTCACAGTGTTGTCCACCACGACCGATGCTTCTCCAGGGTTGCCTGGACGGTGTACCCGTAGATCTGAAAACAAATATCACTTTATGTTTTTTTATCTGTTAAAGCGCACTCGTTGTTTAGCTGTGCTACTGCCAACACGAATTAAAAATAGGAGTAGGTTTCATTTAGAATGTAATTTTATTAAAGGGCAATTATTTAAACAAAAATGAATAGCATCCGAGGCCACAGTTCCCCTGCAATGAGTACAATTGATTAACGATTTGTTAAGAATTCGTCAAGGCGTATTGTTTCTAATTTTGCAGTTCATCTTAAAATTTTTAACTGTTCATGGTTTTCACACAACACCAACTTTTTTGGACGAGTATATCAATTGCAGTGTAATAACAATATATAAAAACAGTACTGTATTCCCAACTTTTCGGGAAATGGACTGAGTCGTTTCTGACTGAATTAATAAAATAAATTGTCTCATTCATAAATTGTTTTATTTACGTCATACTGTATAAGTCATTCTAAAAACTATGAGCGTATCGATAAACTACAAGTATAGAGCCATGATTTTTTGCATATTTCAGAAAGGATTTTAAATTTTGAAATGACGTCATCAATGTTTTGGGAGAGGATAAACGAATAATTTTTTATTAACGATTTATTTACCATGACTTCGTTAAACTTAAAACGTTCATAAGATAATTAGGGTATTCTGTTTTGCAGTTTCAAAGTTAAATTGCACAATGTTGTTATTCCATTTTGATTTTTTTTTTCCAAAAATTTGGATATCGACATCATAAGTGTAGGAAAATCTTATTTTATAAAATTAAAAAAAATGGTCGAAAGTTGTTGGTCCTGAAGTACAATGAAACATATCCAGCATTTTCGAATGGGCGTACCCTCAGAGGCGTCCTTCATCGTTTCTCTGTCATAGTGAACTTTTCCACCTATGACGGGTACATGCCCCTATTTAGATTAGTGCCTAATAGTGACCAGTTCACTTAAGTTTATGTTTCCGTCTGTTATGGTTTGCGATTTAAACAAAAAAAAAATTAAAAACCACCCACTTCTGAAGTGTGCATGTTACGCTACTGACTGACAATCCGTTGTCAGATTCTGATGATTCACCATGTTGAACTTAAAATAATCCATCTCTAACAACCTTTGTCCTTCAACACTTGGTAACAGCAATCTGACGCTCAAGTGTTTATTAATATGTTTATGCATCGAAAGAATGTCACGTAGAAATTATTTTGATCTGAATGGGTTTGTCTTCTCAAAACACAGGACTAAAATTATTAATTAAACCATAATCGAAGAAAATGTTGTGAATATTATAATTCTTATTTTATCATTATTATATAAAGACGTGCGTATTCTTCACATTTTCGAGAATATGGGGTGACTTGTTCTTAATTTGGCCAATAAAAAATTGGAAGTGCTGTTCTTGATTTGACGGGCAAAAAAAGTTGGAAGTGCCGGGATCCGTAACTGGGACTTCCAATTGCACTGTACACTTCACCCCCACTGAGCCACCGGCCATGTTTGCGGAGCCACGTATTAATTATATTTATCGGACGAACGATGATTAAACAATAACAGTTATAATAATAATAATAATAATAAAACACAAAAGCAGGAGGAATGCATAAAACACAAGTATGAAAATATAATATTTTATGCAATTCAAGTCCTATTTATTGGAGAAAATTTTGAGGGGATGTCATCACGTTGTTGGTGGGATAACAGGAGACATTTTGGTTACCATTTTACAATCTAGATGACAACTTTAAAACATCTCTAAAATTTCAAAGTATTCGTATTTTTTTAGACACCCGTATTAGCAAATCTAAAAAATATGAATGGAATGATAAATCACACTCATCATATTTTGGGCATTTTAGATAGGATTTATTTTTAGATGACGTAATCAATTTTTTGGGGTTGATAAACAGATGCATTTTGATTAATATGTTACCATGCTTACAATAACTTCAAAACGTCAAGATTTCAAAGTGTTCAGTTTTGCAATTGTTGATTTAATCATTAAAATAAATCGATTCAGGTTCATTAATTTTTTGAGTCACCCTGTATATGCAAATTCAAAAAATATTAATGGAATGATAAATCACATGTACACACTCATCATATTTTGTACATTTTAGATAGGACTTGTTTATCAAAATTTTGGGTAGATGCTTTCAATTTTTAGGGGGGGGATGAGCAAAAAACATTTTGATTAAAAATTTACTATATTTATGATAACTTTAATACATGTCCAAGGTTTCAAAGCGTTCGGTTTTGTAGTTCCTGATTAAATCAATAAAATAAATTCACGCATTCATTTTTTTAGTCACCTTGTATAAGCAAATGGAAGAAATATTAATGGAATGATGAATCACAAATACAGACTCATCACATTTTGTACATTTTAGGTAGGATTTATTCGGCAAAATTGTGAGCCGACGTCATCGATTTTTTCGAGGGGATAAGCAAATATATTTTCATTAAAAATTTATCATGCTTTTCAAAACTATAAAACATCTACAAAATTTCAAAGCATTCGACTCTGCAGATGCAAAATGTTGTTTTGTAAGTTTGATATTTTTCCCCAAAAATCTGGACGTTTCGGGTAAAAACTCAACACGGCGTCATAAAGTACATGTGTATGTAGGACTAGGTTATTTTATACAATTTAAGACCCACTTATTATGTACAATTCTCAAGTGACGTCATCACATTATTGGTGGGGATGATTAGACAAAGTTTGATTAGCGTTTTACCATCTACATGATATTCATAATGCACATATAAAATTTAACAACAATCGGTCTAGTAGTTTCAGAGATTATCTGTCTAATAAAAATCCAGACAGACGGCAAATTTTAATATTTTTCGAAAAAGGTGGCTATGTTTTAATGTACTTCAAGGACGTGGCAATTTCTGTCGAAATAACCTTCGACCAATTTTTAGAACGATATCTAAAATTCTGAACGGCTTTTTCTAAGTTATTATACTTTCACACTTCATAACGTCTCTCTCACGATTTAAAGTAAATATTGTTAATGACATTTAAACTAAACTTAAACCTTAATCCATTTTGAGAGAAAGGAACTTTAAATTATCATCAGTTAAATTAATATCGTTACGGACTCAAAACGGGAGGTGTATTTTATGTTTATTTTGTCTTACATTACTATAATGTGCTATTTTTTTTCACAACTTGAATTTGAATTTTAAACACCTTCTTGTGTTTATGTCATATATGCTTTGTTTTATGTGATGTGTGAATTCTTTGGGTCCAAGATGTAAACTATGAAAACATTTCTGTTTTAAACACTAATAAAACTAATAAAAAATTAATGCGTAATTTGACAATATCTGAATTATTTTTGTTTAAAATCCTTGAAAGAGTGAGACGTTATTATATATTGCTTGCGTTGCGTTGCATTTTTATTGACATACAAGCACATGCAAGACCACATGGCGAAAACGGTTTCTAATTAAAGCTGATAACTTTTTCTCATGTCACTTGCCCTAACAAAATGTTAAATTCTAAACTTCATGAGGAGACTTGTGTTCGTATGAAACAAGCAGCTTGGTCCAATAGTGGTTGATTTGGGAAACCGGGGTGGAACGTGTAATATGCGGCAGGTTTTTTGGGCATACAGACGTGCTGTGTGTGTGATACCTGTCAAATACAGTAAAATAATCGAGGAAGGGTGATAGACTACGACAAGGAACTTAAATTCCGCTCTCGTTACAACATCTGCTAATTTACCATCCAATTACTTTAATGACAATTTCTTTTTTGTGTAATCGATGCAAATATTTGGATAAATATTAGTATCAATTTATACAATTTCATTTCATTTTCGAAAAACGGTTTGTTTATATCTACCAAGGATTTCCAAAATTTGAATGTCGGGTTGGCTTTGAATGATGGAATGGCTAGCTCTAACGATTTTTGCGTAAAATTAATAAGGAATTAAATATTATAGAGAATAAGCGGTTGTTGCAGACTTTCGCATACATCGTGGCGTTAAAATGGCGATGAAGGAGTTGGGGTGGAATTTGAGCACAACCAGTCACCGGCAGTGCCAGTTGTAAGGAGCAATGGGTAATTTGAAAAGAACAAACAACCAAATTTTCGGAGAACTGAAAATGAAACAGTGAGGAACGATTAACCTTGTTGAAAAACACATTTATTTCTGTTATCTTATAGTAAGAAAAAACCATCATAAAACCCTCCTGACGTCTTTTTTCGTACCTACAACCACAAGCGCATGCATTAAAATAACCAAAATGTTACAACCTGACGAAAATGACCCACTTCCTCCAGATAGTCTTCTAGCGTTCCGGAATTTTACCGAATATTTGCGAATTAATTCCGCACGACCAAATGTTAACTACGGTGAGTACCGACAAACCAAAATTCCATACCTACACTCAATTCACAGATTCCTGCGTGGAATTTCTTGAAAGACAAGCTGAAAGTTTAGATCTACCCGTGCTAGTATTCCGTACAACGACCGGCAAACCCATGGTTTTGATAACATGGACGGGAACCGAGCTAGGCCTTCCAGGAATACTATTTACCAGCCAAATGGACGTGGCACCAGTTTGTGCAATCGAGTGGGGACACAACCCTTTTGCCGCCGAAGTTGCTAATGGGAGAATTTACGCTAGGGGCTCTCAAGATTCGAAAAGTGTCGGCATTCAATATATTGAAGCTATAAGACGCATGAAGACCCTCAGAATTACTTTAAAACGAACGATCTATTTACTTTTTATGCCAGGTAAAACATGATTTTTTCTTACATATTGAATACAGTTTCTTGTAGCTGAAAACTTCGATGGTCATGACGGAATGGGTGGATTCGTACAGACAGAAGATTTTGTAGGGCTAAATGTTGGATATGTGCTATGTCCAGGAGAGGCGAGCCCTCACCCTGAGTTTGTAGTATTTACGGGGGAAAGATGTGTCTGGAGTAAGGTTTAAGAGAGAAAAAAAACCCAAAGTGATATTTGTTTTTAGATATGGACGTGCACTGTCAAGGCGACCCTAGCCACGGATCTTTCTTGAATGAGAACACCGCGGGAGAAATAGTGACTCGTGTTTTACATAAATGTTTCGCTTACAGAACGAAGCAAAAGAATAAACTGATAGCCCAGCCTAATTGGACGATTGGAAATGTCGTCACCATTAATCTAACAAAAATTGAAGTAGGAAACGATATTGCGTAAATATTGTTTTTCTATATAATGCAGTTATAGGGTGGAGATGAAACGTACATGGTACCAAAAGAATTTGTGCTATCTTTTGAGTGTCGCATTCCCCCCGAAAGGCAGCAAGCAGTAGAACTTGAAGAAGAAATGGCCCAATGGGAAGAGCTTAGTGATACTATAAGGGTTCAGTATACGGTCAAAGAACCACAGATTCCCCTCGCCTCACCTGATGATATATATTGGATATCTCTGATAGAAGCAGCTCATGTATTGTACGTATTTGTTTCTACCTAAAGAGTCATATAAAACAATTATTTATTTTAGAAAAATACAAGTGAAACCTCAAATTTTTGGGGGTCCTACACACAGGCGTCATTTACACAAAGCCGGAGTACCAGTGATCGGTTTTTCGCCCATTAACAACACGCCTATGCTATCACACATTGCTGATGAATATTTAGAGATTCAAACATTTTTAAGGGGAATAACCATATATTACGAAATTTTTTATGCGTTAGGGTTTGCGTAAAAATACAAAAACAATAGGTAAATGTTGAAAATAGTAATGTTAAAAAATGTGAACTGTTACAATGTTAATGAATATGTTTGAATATGTTACAAATTTATTTTGGCAAATAAAGCCGAATTTATTACCAAGACGTTATAACTGCTTACCTAGTAAATAGCTACTGTGCACATTTTAGCACTTAAGCTACGCATTACAGAGCTCTACATATTTGCAAGACATTTTTGACAACCTTGACTGTAAGAATAAGTGTCACAAAGCGAATGAATGTATGACGTCGTAGACACCACTGCATAGTAAATTTGCAATTAGTAAAGTAAGGTGTAAAATGATTTCACCGTTCGTGATAGACAAAAAAAGTGGCACACTCAACCCGTCAATATTTTGTATGGATATTTAAAGATTCGTTCCGTACATCCCGATATTAAGATGGTATTTGTTTTTGTTGATATTTTTTAAAATTAGATATACTTTATGTTTGACACATAATAGCAATAAATATACAAGTGTTCGGAATGGACATAGACATACGAGGGTTGTTCGGCGGAAATTGAGCCTCGTCTAGAAGACGGGTGTTTAAAAAGAAATCTTCGACTGTATGTGTTCCAGTGGCGGCTCGTGAAGTTTTCTTCAGAGGAGGCTCACGAAAAGAACACTCCTGCGTTGATAGATGAACTATTCTTTTCAAAATTGCCCTATTTTTAGCAACTTTCTCGTTATAGTTCTCAATATCCCTCTTATGAGCGGAATCTAAAGTAGTAGAAGAAAATATGTGTTCCTGTGATTTTTCATGCCTTTCTATTGCTCATGACAAATTTTGTAAATTATTATAGCCTGTTTTATCCCAAACGGAAAATTTATCACTTGTGAATAATACACAATTCCAACAGTATAATTTGTTTCTTAAAAAACCGAAGCCGTTAGCCATTTAGTTTTATTATAATTATTTTCATGAAATGCTCTGTTTTGCTTTTTACCTGTCATTACCATTAATGGGAGTGGTGGTGTTGGTCTCCCCTTTTGTTTTATAGCGATCTTTTTATCACAATCAAAGCTACTAAATTAATTTTTTAATAGATAATTTACGTATCTGCACATGAGACTGAATTATTTTCGTTGCTCATTCTCGTTAAGTATAAGTAATATTAATATGCCGATAATAGCAGCTGTTTTTAACGATCAGAAATAAAACGCAAATAAATCATACAAAAAACACCTTAGGCTTTACGTAGGTACTAAGGCCTAAACCACTGAATAAGGAGCATGCGAAACCACCTCAATGTTATTCCAATTTATACCCGATCGCTCCAAATAATAAGAAAGAGATAAAATTATCCGTGCGACTTGATCTGAAAAGAGATGAACTAGCCGGAGGCTAGCGGCCTGCAGCGGCACCCTGATCAACGTTTTAGCCAATGCAGTACCGAATGACGATGCGTCAAGGTTGCGGTCTCAATAGTAAGATGCATTCTCGGCGGAGGCTAGCCTTTATCGCTGAAGCCAAACGCGGAGTGGTGTGAATTATGATTGTAAGGGCGCAAATATAATTTTTTTCGACATTTTAACCTGATATCTGATGAAAGTAAATTAAATCAAACAAAACTACTAGTAAGGCCCCTTTAGAACACTTTGTTTTTTTAATCATTTTGCCCTGTTTTTCAAGGTACCTTTTTAATAAAGTTAAATTTTTAAGAAATTTACCCTGTTTTTCCAAAGGTCCCCTTTTAAAAAAGTCAACATTTCAAGGAAAATACCCCGTCTTTCCAAACGTGAATACGGTTTCGTACAAGCGAATTTCTTTTTCAAAAACACTCAAAATTAGGAATTTTGCGCTGTGTTAAAGACTTTTTCTTGTTAGGCCCCTTCAGAACTCATTGTTTTTTAAGCATTTTACCCGTTTTTAACAGCCTTTTTAAAATTAACATTTTTCAAAGATTTTACTCTGTTTTGAAGTTTGTACGGCCCTGTTTTCAAAAGTATATCTAAAAAGCAACATTTTAGGGATGTTGCCCAGTGTTAAAAACTTTTTTCCTGTTAGGCCCCCTCAGAACACAATACGTTTTTATCCTTTTAGTCTGGTTTTCAAGGTAACTTTTAAAAAAGTTAAAATTTTTAAAGAATTTGCTCGGTTTTTCGAAGTCACCCTTTTTTAAAAAAGTCAAAATTTTAAGAAATATATCCTGTTTTATCAAACGTGAATATGGTTTCGGCCAAGAAAAGTTACCATTTAAAAACACTTAAAATTCGTCTTTTAACCCTGTTTTTTCTGTATATTTTAAAATGAACATTTTTCAAAGATTTTACACTGTTTTGAATTTTGTACTACAGTAGCGGTCATTTCTACGGAACCACTCGATAAAAAGTCAAGTTGGTAGCCCTGTCATCTAGTACTTTACGCCGAACGCGGTTGGTAGCGGTAGTTGATATGGCAATCGAAACTAGCACAACACGAATGTTTCGGTTGCCCTCAGTTATGCCGCACTGTATCCCGTGCAGACTGTATGTTCTGTTAATCTATTTATTAAAATAAAATATCTGCATTGACAATGGGGCCATCTAACCTGTCAAATTTTTGACACATATGTTTTCCCCCAGAAACCCGTCAAGGTCACTTACACCAAACAAATTTTGAAAATTTACACTAGGGAGTGGTTCTATAGAAAAGATCGCGACTTTATTTATATATATCATATAAATTCATATCGGTGTAGTGGATTGTATCACTGGAAAAAAAAAACAAAAAGACGTATCAAAACCATATTTTTGAAAAAACACACAGCGGAATAAATGTCGTCCTGGACTCGAAAAGGCAAATGATTTTGTGTTCTGTTTTATGTGTTTTATGATTCCAAATTTGGAACATTTATTATCAAAAGTACCTCTCAGAGCGATGTACAAACAAACCACATGATATTTTATGTTTTGACCATATTGAACATGTGTTTATGTATTTATGTGTTGGGGAATTCGATTCACGATGTACTCTTGTTTCTTTAATTTCGTTTAATTGAATTCGGTTGGCTACTTCGGGCCAAGTCAAGACTGACTAATTTCTCCTGTCATTCTTATGACTGTTTATTCGCAATACCGAGATGCCGCCAACACGGGATATGCGGAGGGTGTCTTGCTGGTAAAGGAAACTTTAGTGGTGGGAGCCAGTGTGGTGTGTCCCGCGGTGGATGGAGTAAAGTTACGGGATAAAACTTGCAGCCGCTGCCTCAGGCGCCGGCGAACACAGCATGGAGATAGCGTGACGTTTGGGGTGGCACAGTGGCTTGGTTGTAGCTGTGGTAGTGCAAAGAAACAGTTCGATGACAGTTAAATCGTTTAAAATAATCAAAATCTGCCAACATAATAATTTGGGCATTGCTTTCCATTTCGCTTTGATATGAATTTGCAAACTAGAGCATTGTATACTTTTAAGAACAAGCTGTGTTTAATCTGATCGAAATTTAAAATTGTTACACCTGAAAGAACCAAGTTTTTGTAACTGAAATATTGAAAAAAAAAACGACAACAATAAAAGGAAAGAACTTAATAAAATTATTCCCGCCATATTTTTGTGTTGTTAATTTCAAGGTCACTCTTCCACCTTTGCGGTTCACCACTTGCATCAGAACGCATTCCGCCATTTAAACACAACGTAGGGTCCCCATTTTGTTGACGATCACAGTTCATGGCCACTTTTCGAATTTTTCGCGGGTTTTCAAATTTTGTGCGCATGTCTCCAATTTTGGCGGAATGTTTGGGTTATTACAACTATATGGGCTTGTTCTGCACACACCATTTTTTTATCAAATCTCCCCCATTTTTCAAGTTACCATTTAAAAACACTTAAAATTTACCTTTTTGGCCCTGTTTTTCTCTTGGGCCACTTCGGCACAAAAATGAATACGTTTTCCTCTAAACAGGTTATGAAATTAAAGTAAAATAACGCGACACATGAAAATAAAATTGAACGTCAAAAAAATGTCTCACTATATGTATAGTCTTTGCCATTTCTATTGAAACACCACTTGTTGATTTTGCCTAAAATTTAGCAATTGCTAACAATTTTCGGTTGATTGACAACGGCTTTTAGTTAGATAACAATAACACGTGACGTCATGTTGTGGCGGGAACTCAGCGTTTGACAAGCGCCGTGAAACTCCATAAGCGACAATGTTAACATTTTCGCATTTTATTTAAAAGTGTGGGTATTTATGTAGAAAATAAACACGTGAATAGCTTCTTTCATATCTTTTCTGTGTATCAGAGTGCTTTTTTTGGCGATTTGAGTTTAGAAATACATAATACAAATAAAAATACAGAACGCTGTTTTGGCCTGAATTCCTCGTCACCCAAAATACATCCGTGTGTTTTAAGCGGGAAATCGGAAATTAATATTTTCGTTTGAGGTTAATGTGACGGGTTTAAGTGAAGGTGTGTGATTTGTTTTTAAAGTATGGATAATTTAAGTGATTATGCACGATGTCTTTCCGTCAAAGAGAAAAACAGATATGTACAAAAGTTAAACAATTTAAACGGCGTAGATCCTTATACATATAATGAGTGCAAGTAATTTTAATTTGTGTTTAGACGATGTCCCTACCATAACAATGAATACCATTCTAAACTTTTTTATTTTTGGAATAAGTAAAATAACCCACAATGAAATTCGTGCATTCAAAAGTCTAGAGACATTTATTCAGTTTTCTCTTTTTTAAACGACTTTCAACATTACAAGTATTATGAGTGGATTTATTTTGATATCCTAAATTCTGTGATGGAACATAATCAGGGTGGTCCACATCCGACAAATCTGCAGGTTTACCTAAAAGAGCACCAATGTAGTAATTTATTAGAAACTGTAATAAATCTAATAGGTAGTTACTGTACCTAAAATAAAATGATCCGAACAAATATAGGAATACTTTACTTTGGCTTCGTTAAATCAGTGGCGTAACTACCGGTGTTCCACGTGTTCGGCGGAACACGGGCCCGCTGCTTCAAGGGGCCCGGTC